TCGCATGTATAATTCTTATCCTTCTTAATCAAAATCATCTCATCAATCAATCTGTTTAACTTATTAAACTTATACTCATGCACATGTATGTGTAATTCCCTTGCTTCATGCTCGTATATTCTAATTTCATTTGTCTTATGAACTGGTCATCCATGTACTTATTCTTGAACTCTTTTACAAACAATAACCACGTCACTTAATCTTTTAACATTCTTATGGTGACACTTGTTCACCATATTCTATTTTATTCATGTAATAACAAAACTTCTCTATATTACTTCTCCACTTTGGAGAAATGAAAACCTTCTAACATTTTTTCATATCATTTATCCAAAGGTCTGTAACAACATAACCTTCTTTAAATTTCACCCTTGAACTCGAGTGCTCTCTACTCTTTTCGATACATTCATTCTATGAATTATAGCAGTATAAAATTGAAAACACATCATAATATCATTCAACATTATGAAATATTCTCTAATCTTGTACAGACACTTCCTGAGGTTTTCGCTCTTCTCCCTGCCTGGCCAGGGCAGGTGAATGCTATTACCTTCAGGTCGATCGCCTTGTTCTTCACTTTGGAAACTCTTATAATCATACATCTAATATAACATAACATTTTAATTCTATTATCAAGACAGTATACTCCTTACACTATCATATCAGAATTTTTTTCACTTTGTGTTAGTATGTATATTTTTTAAAACACTTTTGACTTTATTTTTAGCCTAGAATCGGCTAAATCATAGCTCTGATACCATTAAATGTAACACCCCAACCCATATTCGACTCGAATACGAGTTCGAGATGTCACATTGACTTTTAAAAACGATATTCTTACAAAATATCAAATCATTTGAATTCTTTTTAAGAAAATACGATTATATATTATTGAATTGTGTTTGTTATAAAAATTTGAGGCAAAACGTATTTATGAACAGTGATTAACAGTACCATGAACAGTGAAAATTTTCGAATATAAATTGTGCATCGATGCACTGCTACAGTACTAATACAATACTGCTACAATACTTTCGTAAAAATACGTATAAACTCGTAAAAATTTAAGCTTTCATCCGTATAAAATTTACCAATTACCTATACGCATTTAAAACATTACAAAACTTAATCATATGATTTTTTTCAAAATCGATTAGAATATATTGAATTAATCTTTTTATTTACATGCCAACAACTTTCCTTATTACAAAATACATACTATACATTTCTTTTCTGATCTGATCTTTGGAAAAGAGAAACTGACCTGTCTTGCAAAAACTTTTACCAATCTTCCTCTTCCCGGAACCTACGCGTGAAACAATCACACGCTAAGTCGTTGACTTAGTGAGGCATATAAAACATATAATAAAACTATAGAACATTTCATATAATAAAATGCATACATATACATATACCATCATCATCATAATCTCTATTTATCATATGATTTTATACTTATCATTTCTGTATATCATATAACACACATAACATTATATAATTCATGTAACATATTTCATATCACCAAAACATATATATCATATGTATTGTATTTGTTATTGTCTCTTTATTAGCCCATGGTACACATGTGAGAACTGAAGGTATGTGAGTACATTGAGGTTGTGCACAAATGCTGTCACCACAGCTCGTATAAATTCCCACTAGGGGCACTGAATATTTATCCCGAAAGACCACGTAGAAATGTCCAGAAGGACCACATATCACATATGTCCCGAAGGACCACATATCACATATGTCCCGAAGGACCACTCCTTAAGAACCATACACATAATACAATGGACCAAATAAATGTACCGAAGTACCACATACATGTTCCACGGAATTACATATATGTCCCAAAGAACCACGTAGAATTATCCCGAAGGACCGCGTATACCCTCGACTCTTGGCATGCCAACTATACCTCTAGATCTCATGACACATAAAATGGGCATTATTTTTCATATTTATCACATATCATCACATAGTTCACTTACACGTAGAACATTTTCATATGATTCATATTCATATGTCACATAGCTTATACTTTGTTCTTATGCCTTCCCATAGATATATATTCTTTCTCACGTAGTCACATAGATCCATATCATATAATATATATCATTTCTCATTTGTCCATGTACGTATGTCATATCCTATTCACATATGTTCGTATATACATCACATAGCTCATCACATAGGCATGTATTCTCATATATTCACATAACTTGGATCGAATATGCATATATTCCCAAATACATGTCATTTCATTATCCTTATTATTCTTATCATCCCCATTAACCCCTTTTACTTACCATATTCATATCAAATAACACATATATCACAACACCAAGGAACAAAGATGTCATCATGTAATTTCTATAACATATTTCATATTCTTATATAATCTTATAGATTATTTATGTTGTTTCATATGACTTATCATACTAACATATACTTATGCAAATCATGTAACATACATAATAACCTGTTAACACATATAAATCACCTAACATTTTAGAATTTACTTCTTACCATAGTAAATACATCATTGGCTCATCGCAAGCCAATATTCATTCTATAACATAAGCACAAATTAAATTGCATTGACCTTAGCCTTGCTTTGATTCGATCATAATTCTTTGATTATTCCAAAGCTTGTTTAGGCTCAATATATACATAAACATAAATTCCGATACGATTATCAAAAGCCTAAACCTTATAACTTGATGTTAATAACTCAAGCTAATTTAATGAACCAAAATTCCATTTTTCCTTTAGGGGTGTTTCGATGCACTATGGGTGCATCGGTACACCAAATGGCTTCGAAATTCCCATGCATCGATGCCTACATGTGTGCATTGATGCACACTGAATAATTTCTAGAAATTTACCCTTGATGCATCGGTACATGTTGAATGTGTACCGATGCACACTAGTTCAGAATTCCCATTTATTCACGTAAATTATTTCCTTCTAATTTAATTTCCATATTACAATCCCTTTCATATCCTTAACTCACATACACATGCTTAAACTCATATATATCCATTTATCTCATCTTAAATCTAAAAATTACATCTTTCATATGGAAATCAATAATCATACCAAATTTTCAAGATGTTCTAAATCCAATTCTATCACTTCATATCTCTTAATTAAGTTGATGACCAAACAAATTTAGTTTCAAATTTAACTTATCATCTCTTTTCCAAAAATTCACTTAAAACCCCATTTTCTTTAATATGTCATAACTTCTTTATCTTTTGATTTTAAGATGACTTAAGCTTAGTTATCATCTAATGATCAAACCCCAACTTAAAATTCAGCTAATAATCAAAAATTAAGAAATCTTACCTTTGCTCTTGAAGTCCACGGTGAAGAAGAAGAAAGCAAGAAGAAGAAGATAACTCTTCCCCCCACATGATTCATTCATATAATAGGAAAAGAAAAAAATATCTTTCTTGTCAAATGACCATTTTGCCCTTTAATTCCTTTGATAATTACTAACAACTTTAAGGAAATATTCTTAAATAATTCATTGAACTATTCAACTTTTCCACTTTAATCACCAAATTCTAAAATTTTAAAATTTAATCACTAACCCGTAGTTTGAGATGTTACACTTTGATTGCTCAATGGTTATTTGTTACCCATTAGAGTTTTACAAAGTTTTCTTTGTGTTTTATATACCTTATTTTTACAGAGGATAAAATGATAAAAAAACCAAGGAAAGAATCTAATTTTTTTCTATTGTGTCTGTATGTCTTGATGTGGTGGAAATCTGTTTGATTTGGTGCTAACTAAGCGTATGGATGGAGGGGAACTATTAGCATGGACGGCTCATGGAGCCTCTTAGAAGCTAATGGCAACGACGACGGGGTTTTATTGTTAAAGGTTACAAACTATAATGGTTCACATTTGATTTAAACCGTAAATTCTAAAAAGGATCTGACGGTCCACAATGGACTGCACATTTGTCCTTGGGTTAACACTAATTTTCTCCTTGGCCATTTTTGGATGTTAGATCACAATAAAGATCAGACGATTGCCATGATTTTCCCGTTGACAACACTCAATTATATTTTATGGCTTAACCCTAACTTTGAAGGCTTGATCTGGGCCATTGACCATTCCCCAGATTTGACGGTTGATGTTAGGCTACATTGAAATTGAATTTGGAAACCCTAATCTACTAGGTCAGGCAGATTCGAGTTCCTTCTTTGCTAGGCCTAGACCATTTTCTCCAATTGGCATTTTACTCGATTCGAATCGGACCCCTTCTGTACTCTTCTTGGAACTTGACTTAATTGCATCGAGACTTGGACTGTGATTTTTAAACCTGAAATAATAAATAATAATAAAATTAGTAAAATGAAATAATAATATGCAAAAACCCAAAAATAAAATATGTATGCATATTATATAAATATATTTATACAATTTTCAAAGTTATATAATATTTACTATTTATTTTAAAAACTATATTATTTTAAAATATACTACATAATATTTATATCTATTTTAAAAACTATACTATATATTATATATAATATAATATTTATTTTATTTTATTATTGTTTTATTATTTAAAAACTATATATATATATTTCAAAACTATACCATGGTTTAAAATATACATATGCCTATATTTACTATAAAATAAATTAAAATAAAATAAAAATATTATAAAATTTTATACTTATATAATATATAGTAATAAAAAGTAAGAGTGACTTCTGGACAAAAATAAGTGTCTACAACAATCTTTTAAAAAAATATTTTTTATAATCAATTTTCTGTTGAGTTAATAGTTGATCATAAGTTTAAAAGAGTTCCTCTAAAATGAGTGTGATAGTATAATGCTAATATGCTTATGGGAGTATATACTTAAAGTACGCGAGAAATGAGATCGTTTTAGACTACACGTGTGGTATGTAAGTTTCTATTATCCCTCTATTGAGTTTTCAAGGTTTGAGAGAAGGGTATGCACTATGTTTGATGATCTTGCTCTCATAATTGGTGTTGTTCAGTGTGTTGTTTCTAATTATAGAAAAATATATTTTTTGTCTTAATAAAAATTAAAAATGACTATAATTTTTAAATAAAAAAATTAAACAAAAACATTTAACCGTTAATTGTAATCTTTGAAAACAAAATTTATAAATTAAAGTATTTGACGTGTTTATAAAATTTATAAATCAATATCATGTTAATATTCCTATTTTTTTCTCTTTTAATGTCTCGTCCAAAATATGAGTAAAATTATGGAGAGATTACAATACTACACAGTTACCCCACTATTTTTCTCTCTCTAATCTCTAAACTCTCTTTCTCTAACCCACACCTTTTGCACTCCTTTTACCCATTTTCACTCTTGCTACAATGATAAAACTCACCCTTATATATAGATTCTAGTGGCAATTGGATTATTGACACATTTCAATATCTTAGTCATTTAATATTACGAATATGTAGATTCTACTAATAAACAATTCTAGATATACTATTAAATATTACAAATATCTAGATTTTTTCATTAATACTTATTCACATATACAATTTTTATATTATTCTAGAATATTCTTGGTATATATATAAACTAAATGACCCTAGAATTTGTATTGTCCTTTAACAAAATACAACAACATGCACTCACTACCAAAGCCAACACCACCGCATGTAACTTAGCCAAAGGTAACAAAATACGATAATCTATCAAGTATTTAAATTTAAAAATTAAGGGATAAAATGTCTTATTTAATTAACATTTAAACTAAGAAGACCTAAAATGTTATTACACTAAAAAATTTGGGAGGGACAAACACCATGTAGATCCGTCCCAGGGTATTGGTCAGTGTTGTATTTTTGGTTCGCCAGATGAATTAGTGTTATATGCAGTCCGAGATTGCCATGATGCGCATGCAATGTTATGTGCTGCTGGGTTTTCCCCATTTTTGTTGGATTCGTCTGCTCCTTCATGTCATAATTGGTTAGGAACAATGATGAACGTTCTTTCTCCATATCGGTTTGCCATCCTACTGGTTTTATTATATTCTGTGTGGAAACGACAGAATACATTTCTTCACGAAAATAAGCTCTTGCTATGGTGGTTTATGGTTTCTAACAGTCGGGGTCTCCAGGATTCCTATCATCAAGCCACATGACAAACATCTAGTGTAACATTTATGCCGTTGGGTGAAGTTTGGTGTAAACCCTCTGCTGGTTCCTTTAAAATCAACGTGAATGGCTCCTGTTCCACCTCTCAAAATGCATACGGGGTTTTAGTACAAGATGCTGAGGGTATGGCAGTTGATGGCTCTACTCGAACTTTATCTGTTTATGGGGATTCTACCGTTACCGAGGTTGCTGCTCTTACTGTCGATATTCGTCTAGCTATCGATCTTCAGCTTCCTAGTGTGTGGTGAAGAGTGATGCTCTTAATTTGGTTCGGCAGTTGTTGCCTCGCCCGCTTGATATTTCATTGTATAGCTATCATCCGGAGGAGTCCAAGCAGTTAATAGCTTATGCTCCTTTTATCTGGGTGGCCCATATCTGATGTACAGTGAACATGGCGGCTCATCACTTAGCAAGTTGGGTTGCAGCTAATGACATTCGTTTGATTTTCAATGTGATTATCCTACTTGTATTTCTAGTAATGTAACTCAGGATGCTATTCTCGGTTAATAAAAACTATCGTATTTCCTTTAAAAAAAAAATCTATACGTTACTACAAAATCCAATCAAATAACTTGATTTAAACAACTAAAATCGTATGATTATATATATCATGTTGACATTGCTCGAGTTGCATATTGTGGTTCGTGAGATGAGGTTTGCATCCTGTGGTTCATGGGAGTTATTTTAAAGAAAATAAAGTAAAATGAAAATAGTGGCAGTTGTTAAAAGTAAATTAATAAAAATGAAATATTTAATATAAAAATAAATATTTAAATTATAAATTTCTATATTAAATGTTTAATTTTTTTATTGAAGTAAGTATTTAATGTTTCATTTGTTATCGATTGAATTGTCAATCTTCGTAAAATCAATTTGGCATTCAATGGATGCATGACGCACTATTTAATTTTTAATTTCATTTATTTTTTAAAATACTTAAACTTCTTATTTTTATAAAAACTTAAATTTTTAAATTCTATTGTTTTTGAAATCTCTAAAGCTATAATCCTCAGTACTTGTCTATCACCATAGAATCAACTACTATTATTTACTCCTCCTCTTATCGAACCCCCTTATTGGTCGTCTTGTTTTTCGTTACACAATTTTTATATCTGTAAATCTTTTTAAATGATCGAAAGTTCATGCAACGTGGTTAGTCGATTCAATTCAAACGATGATTGGTGAATAACATAATAGGGTTTGAAGGTATTTAGGTATTTTATATAATCGAAAAAAAAATCTTGTGAGGCCAAACTGAGAATTTATCTATAGTTTAGGGGGGAATATTAAGCCAAAAATCTATATGGAACAGTCGGCATGGGATTTCATAGTGATAGACTGGGGGAGAGCCACTGTTGTCACTTTCAATTCTCAACAATTTTCCCTATATATTTATGCTAAACTACCTATTTAGTATTATACTTATTCTCATATTTTTGTTTTCATCACTCAATTATTTTTTAAATAATATATAATATTAAATTTTATTTTATTTAAAATGAATTTATAAAAAATAACTTATTATTTAATTTATTAATAACATATAATACATACTAAAAGATGGAAACAAATTTAATATGAATTTCATAAAAATAACTAAGTAGTTATTTAAAAAAAATTATTCCTAAATGAAGCGAGAAAATAATTTGATTTAATTTTGGGGCAATGCTAAAGATTAAGTTAAATATTAGTTTTGATAGATTTTTTTTGTTGCAAATTCCTAGTTTGGCGTGATGATTAAGAACAAGACCCATTCGAATCCCCTTTTCACAATTTATTTTTTTATAAGTGAGGATTACCTTATTGTTCAAATAAAATTATCTAAAATTATCTACATTCACTACACCAAAACTGTTCTGTAGCGGCGTTTGGAGAGTAAACACCACAAACTTTAAACATATAGCGGCGTTTACAATCCAAACGCCACAAAATAATACTTTAGCGGCCTTTCTTAAACAAACGCCGTGATAAAGTAGTATTTTAGCGGTATTTTTATACAAACGCCACAATCTGGTTCATCAATAGTGATGATTTTTTAAAAACGCCGCAAAAACAGGTGCTATAGTGGCCTTTTTTTTAAAAAACACCGCCAATGGATAAATATATGCTCCACTCTTTTCTCTTGTCTGATCCCTAAAATCATTTCAACTCTTTTTCCCTAAAAGCTTCTTCTCTGGTACAACAACGGGCCTCTCACGATTCCAAGCGGCGTCGTCTTCTGTCTGTCCCAACGACCAAATCGGGCCTCTTACCAGCAAACTATAACACGATTGCACGGTTTGATCCCTTCTCTCACTACTGAACTTTTTTATTTTTCTAAATGTTGATATTCTGAAAATGGGGAAAACCAGAAAACTAACGTATTTGAGAAAAATAATAGCTTTCGAATAGGAAAACAATATCTATACATAGTGTTTTACTGCTTTACTGCTTGAGAGTAAGTTTTACTGCTTTCGAATAGAAAAATAATTGCTTTCGAATAGGAAAATAATAGCTTTCGAATAGGAAAACAAATGGTTGTGGTGCAAAGAGCATTGAGTTAGGGAGCAAAGTTTCTTTAATTTTCTTCGCTTTACTGCTTGTTTGTAGGGGAGCAGAAGTACTATTATTGCTTAATAAATGGTCCCCAAAATCCTAACTTTGCATTAATTACTTACGATCATATTTGAGTACTGAATACTGATATATATTTTACTGAGCCCAAAAAGAAAATAAACAAATACATGTTGATCTTTAGGTTTTAAAATGATGCAATAAAAGCACTAAGAAAAAGGATCCATAACCCTAGTAGAAAACTTAAGTCTGATTTAAAAGGATGACATGCTTTGCAAAATCAAATTAAGATTTAGAGTGGTTGTAGTCGATGGTTAATGTAGGAAGCTCTTTTGGCTGAAAATAGATTTTAGATTGATGCATAAACTGAAACGAGCTGATTTATATCTTCAAGTTATCTTGACTTCAAGCTTGAGGACAAGCTCTATCTCTAGAAGGGAGCGTTGTTGTGGACGCTGCAGTTACTTTAGAAGTTGTTTTTGGTATGTGGTAGGACTAGTAGAATAAAATAAGTTTTCTTATAGGAATTTATTTAGTTTAATATGACTTCCTTATTGGATTAGAAATGAGACGATGAATAAAAAAGACTACAAATTTTTTACCATACCTCAAAAGAAACGTGGGTCTCTCTCTAACGATTCATAAGGTTTTAGGCTCTTTCTGACAGTCTTAATTGTCAATCAAAATATGCTATTCTAGAAATCAAAATAAAGGGAAGACAAATTGATCTCCACTTCCCTACCAATCACACTATGACATGATCCTAATCGCATATTCTTAACGAAGAGGGAAAACAAAGTAAACATGCTGCACTACAGCTACCAGTGAAACATCTAAGTCAATTAGTTGATGCTATTGACTGGTATGCTTGGATAAAGACACTACAGCAAAACAGAGGTTCAGTGGCGTTTTTTTTTCCTATAACGGCCTTTTTTTTCCTATAGTGGCGTTTTTAAACGCCGTTAAAACACTTGCGACGAAAGAAAAAACGCCGCAATAAGCACCATTGAAACCATCACCGCTATAGTTTGTGGCGTTTGAGAACAAAAAACGCCGCAATAGGTCAAGAACTATAGCGATGTTTTTTTTAAAACGCCGCAAAAAGTCTATAGCTATAGCGGCATTTTGGAACAAACGCCGCAAAAGGTCAAAATATATATCTGCGTTTTTGGAACACATGTCGTAAAAGGTATAGATATATAGCGGCGTTTTTTGTATACATACACCGCAAAAGGTCATATATATAGCGACATTTTTAGAATAAACGCCGCAAAATGTTTAGATCTATAGCGACGTTTTTGGAATAAACGCCACAAAATGTATAGATATATAACGACGTTTTTTTGAATAATCGCCGCAAATTGTTTATATTTATAGCGGCGTTTTGGAATAAACGACAGTATTGATTATGTATTTAACAGTGTTTTTTATACAAACGCTGCTAATTAAGACAGAACCTACAACCACTGATTCCCGTTATTTTGTTACACATAACTACATTTTCAACATGTTCCATTATCCAACAAACATGAAATATATAACAACAAAATATAATTCTATAACAACCAACTTCAAATCTATTATAGTAAATAAAATTTTACATTAACGTAATAGGTAATGCAGTGCAACATTGTTTAGTAACGTGAACGAAACACATATAACAGAAATAAGACCTAAGATGGTGGAGACTTAGGTTGATTTTTCCGTATCATCTGCATCATAGCTTCTAGTTTTTTCTCAAACTCTTGACATTTATGTTGATATGTTGCTTCTCTTTCTGCTTCACTCGCTTCATTTTCGGCTTTCATGTTAGCCATATTTTGATCCATTTCAGCCAACTGTTGTTTTAAACGACTAACTTCCAATTGAGAAGACTGAGACTGTGACGACATGTACTGAGATGAACTGGATCCAAAATATTTGGTGGGAGTAACGAATGATCCTTAACAGTAAACCCGACCATATCTTTCAGGACCCAAAACGTCATTGATAACTTGATTTTTGATGTCATCCGCATTAACAAGACCATGACTTGAAGCCTTAGCTTCATACTCCTCCCTTTTATCCCTCAATTTTTCCTAATAATAAGGTAAATAATGATTTCAAATAAGAATGTCAGACTATAGATATAAATAAAACTTAATTCAAATCCTCTGTCCAATAAATATACCATAATTTCTGCAACTTCAGCAGTCATAGGAGTGACATCCTTTTTTGTATGTGTCATGCCGAAGAGTTTGATTCGTCCAACTTTAGAACCCGAAGTATTTTCCTACAATGTAGCATAATATAATTAATTTTCGTTAGTATGTACATGGAGATACATAATATAATTAATTTTCGTTAGTATGTACATGGGGATACATAATATAAGTAATTTTCGTTAGTATGTGCATGGGAATACAAATCAGTATGTGAATAATCTATAATATCTCATCATTAGTTATACAAGCAAAGCTCTTCGATCAATCCGTATGAGTAAACTTTTGATGTTGCATGCTAGCAATACCAACATGCTCTCGGTCCTACAATTTCATACAACCACATAAAAAGTCAAAATTATATAACGTTAATATTATTATTGAAAATACATCATACTTGTCCCTTCTGTGAACTCCAAAATTTGACTGTATCTTCCCATTGATACATGAGCATTCTAGGTGGGACAACTTGTAGCTTCTCTTCAAGGCTGAGATCATTCTTGAAGTATTTCTTTTTTAATGAACTCTTGTGGTCTCTTCATCTCTTCCCTAACGCTTGCTTCAAATAATTGTCAGAGACCTTAAATTTCTCCTACACATAAAATAAATGTTAAAATTAAGTATAAATTACTATTGAATAGTTACAGAATATCTATTATAATAATATTATTACCTTAACAAAATCCAAAGCTTGATTTTTGTTACTATTAGGTATTTCACGCCATAACTCATAATTGATCGGTAAAATATTAGCATTACGTCCAACTATGCCCAAGTAACCGAATAGAAGACGTGCTTCTGGGCCAATAGGTTGACCGACATCGTTTCTTGAGACTTTGACATGGTGCCCAGGAGGAAGTTGATATAATTCCTTCAACATTGTACGTCCTCTAGTCTTGCGTGTACCAGATTTTCAACTATATAAAAAAGTTATTAATTGTAAGTTATCAAAATGAAAATTACTGTAATATACAACGTTCGAATCATCATTAATTGTAAGTTAAATAACATCTAGTGTCGAACATTACCTTGAATTTCTAAAGCTTCTTCAACAGTAATTGGAACTTCCGAAGAGTTAACAACATTCGAATCATCATTATTTGTTTGTTCATAATCTTCAGAAGCATGAACAATCCGCAAATCACTTATTTTTCTCCTCGACATGATATCTGTAATAAACAAACAACATTTTTAGTAAGAAAACGGTTTAATTTATGAATATATTGAATGACAAAATGTTAAAAGTTATAATATTATAAATTAATAAATTAAGATATAAAATCTTACGACATTCTTATGTCATATCAGTTGTCACAAATATCTTCATCAACGTCCTCCCGAACCCATTGAAATTGTGTAGTATTACTGATTGTTTCATCTAAGTTTTGTGTTACGAAAGGTAAAGATTCTGGTATTGTTTCAATGTTATCTCTACTTCCATCCCCGATGTCTATCAAGTCTCTGAGAGTATTACGGAGCACAACATATCAACCATCATCCATTGGATCGTGACAGTAAAAAACTTGTTTCACTTGAGAAGAAAATACATATGGCTCATCCATTAATCGTTGACCAATGTGAATTAATCGAGAGAAATTCACCATTGTAAAATTGAATTTATCTCTTTTTATGCCTCAAGTAGTGTTTACATCAACCCAGTCACACCGAAACAACACAACCTTTCATTTTTCATAATAATCTAACTCAATAATGTCTGTAAGAATTCCATAATAATCTACATCTCCCTCCAAAGGATGATTGTCCCTGACACTAGCATAACTTGTAGTTGAAGAAGTAACTACTACTCCACAATTTTGTGTCCTCCTTAATCTTTCACGAGATTTCGTGTGAAACCTGAACCTATTAATGAGGAAGACATTATATCTTTTACCAATTCTATTCGGATCTTGTGAAAGCCATTTAACATCTTCACTAACTACTCTGCAACTCCAAACATATTACACATGAAATAGTAATTAATTTGCATTGATGTCGATATGAAAAAACAAAACTTATATATTATTTATATCTATGTGGAATCATTTAGTCGCTTACCGTCTGGCCTAACTATTCATGAAAAATTTATGTGAATAACTTATGTATCTCTCACTGATGTAATCTTCGAGAGCGTGCACGAGATCTCAAGACTTCTTTGAACTCATTATAAAGTATATTATGTTGTTAAAGAATGAGAAATATAAAATATTATGAAATTCCATTAGTAGTGAGTCTGAAAAACTTATGTACGAAAGGGATCTATTGAATCGTGATGAAAAAGAACATATCGATGTGCTTGTACCCAAGACGTATCATCTAAGTGTGCAATTTCAACTTTCCTGAGTGGTTCACCATAACTTCCAAACAAATAATGTTGAGGTAAGTCATTAGTACAAACACAACATTTCTATTTGGTCTATTCAATCTTGTTTCAACATCTTCCAAATATCTAGAACAAGATGTCATACATTCATATGCCAAATACCCTTCAACAATTGATCTTTCTGGATAACACTTATTACAACAGTAAGACTTCAACTTGAACAAGAACCTATACACAAAACAACATAGTATGTAAATATGTTTTATGAAAAGGTATAATCACTAGTCATTTGAAACTTATAATTCAAATCACGCCTCTCTATAGGGTACATCCATCGATAGAAAACTAGTCCACCAACTCTTGCTTTGTGAGGAAGATGAATTAGTAGATGCACCATAATTGTGAAGAATGAAGGCAGAAATATCTTCTCCAAGTTGTATAAAGTCAAGGCGGTTTGATCTTGTAATTTGTCAAGTTCTTCAACCATCAAAACTTTCCCACAGATAGCTTTCATTATATTAGAAAGTTCAATGATACAAGACGTCACCTTACTCGACATGCAACTGCGTACAACTACTGGCAGTAAATCTTGCATTAATATGTGATAATCATGTGACTTTAAAGAATAAAGTCTCCGATCTTTAACACTGACACATCGAG